TGGTAAAAACAATATTATGATCAACCGAATATTTTTACCCATTAAGGAATAATTGAAACATCATCAATCAATCGTTTTACTTTAAGAAATAAATTATTTGAAAAACATACTATTTTATCTATCCAAAGAAAATTCATAGAGTTAATCGAAGTTAGGAAAATCTAGCATGATATTAGCAATATTGAACAATTTTTAAAAAACAATATCAAACTGTAGTAAATATTGCATTGACATTGATTTGTTTGAAAAGATGTTTTAGATAATAGTAAGTTTATTTTCTAAATATTTTTTAAAATTATTTAGTTTTTTCAGTTAAAAGATTATCTATCATGGATTTACCTATATATATGAATATAGGATATACTTTTTTTCTTAACTTGATATTAAATCTACTTTATATTAGATACTTATTTTTTGCTTTCTTTCATAAACAAAAAACAATTTTCTTTTAACTATTCAGCTAGAAAAACTCAACTAAAAATATTCATTATATATAAAAACTTTTCAATATTTTATTTTTCGATTGTCACCTCATTTAACTATGACGTTCTTGTAGGACACATTTACGAGGAAACCACTTCAACTGATTCCGAGCTTTCGACTTCATCTTTTGGCTATAAGTAGGTTCCAGTGAGACTAAGAAAACCCTAGAAGCGTTCATTCCTATGGCGTATTAGTGAAGAGTTATGGTCGTTTTACTGAAGTTTTTGGCTGGGACAGGGTATTTCCGAAAACCCTAAAATAAATAGTTTTGACCTGAAATTTTGCCTATAGATAGATCTATTAGTTATTAGAAAGTCCTGAAAATTTCAAAGAAAATAAACATGCCTTTCTCGAGATATTCATTTTTCAAAACAAACAGCCTCTTATTACAGGAGAACCAAATTGTCAAGTTCATTGGAAATTAAACATCTCAAGAAAGGCATGTTCATTTTCTTTGAAACTTTCAGAACTTTCTAATAACTAATAGATCTATCTATAGGCAAAATTTCAGGTCAAAACTATTTGTTTTAGGGTTTTCGGAAATACCCTGTCCCAGCCAAAAAATTCAGTAAAACGACCATAACTCGTCACTAATACGCCATGGGAACGAATGCTTCTAGGGTTTTCTTAGTCTCACTGGAACCTACTTATAGCCAAAAGATGAAGTCGAAAGCTCGGAATCAGTTGGAGTGGTTCCCTCGTCAGTTTGCCTGCTAGTTTGACTTTTTCCTACAGCTACACATCATACCAACACCCTTATTGTCATAATAATAATTCATTTGTTAATTTTTCTTCTTCGACTAACATAAGAAGAAGGCTAATTGAAATTGACGTATATTCGACGCATATCATCAAGAGACAGTAAATAATCCTTCATATAAAATAAATTTCTAAAGATGACTTTGCTATTTATAGTTAAAATAATAGCAATATTAGCTCTATGAATCTAAAACGAAAACTTAATTCTATATATAAATCAATAAAATAATTTGTTTAAAGAAATAATCTGGAAAATTCTATGAATAATCGTGAATATATCTCATTTGAGTGAAAAATAATATAAGAAAACGGATAAAAGTAAATAGAATAAATTAAATTAAAGTTGTTATTAATTGAAAAATGTTTTGAGTGTATTATGAATTGATTCATATTAGCAAATTATTTTCTTATCATTATAGTTTAATTATGTTTTCAATGCATTAATAAATAAAATAGGAAAAAAAAAATAGAAAAATATCTTTGTTTTTTTTTGTAGATTTAAAAAGAGAAGAAGAAAAAAATGTCTTCAACAAACACAATAATAAGTTCAATAACAATATATGTTGGTATTCCAATATTTTTAAGTGGTACTTTGGGAAATATTCTTAATGTTCGTCTTCTTTGGCGAACTCGTTATAATCCATGTGCATTTATATTTCTCGTATCATCATTAATTAATTGTATTGTTTTATTTTATGGTTTATTTACAAGAATTTTAGGTATTGGTTTTCATCTTGATTGGTCAACAACAAATCGAATATGGTGTAAAACTCGTGCTACATTAACTCAATCAAGTTTTTTAATTTCTTTAACATGTATTTGTTTAGCAAGTATAGATAGATTTTTTGCTAGTTGTCGTCAAGAAAAATATCGAAAATTAAGTAAATTATCAATAGCGATACTATCTGTTATAATAACAAATATTTTTTGGATATCAATTTTTATTCCTTATTTAATCTATGTTGACATAGTCAAAAATCCAACAACAGGTTTAATATCTTGTACACTTATTATACGAAATGAAGTTTTTTCTATATATCAAAATTATATTGTACTTCCTATATGTTATGGTTTATTACCAAGTACAATTCTAATAATAACAGGTATAATGACATATAGAAATACAAATAAATTACAAATAGGTCGTCAACGAGAATTAATTCAAAAACAATTAACATCAATGATGTTAATACAAATTCCAATAATAATTATATCAACATTACCATATGTTACATTTACAGAATATACAATATTAACTGCAACAGTAAATAAATCTGCTGATAGAAGAGCTATTGAAATTTTACTTACAAATATTTTTACAACTTTATGTTATATAACATTTGCATGTCCTTTTTTTGTTTTTATTGCTTCATCATCATCATTTCGAGAAGAAGCGAAAATTTTATTTTTATGTCGAAAAACAAATCTATTGAGAAATAATCAAATTCAACCCTTTTCTACAAATATATTTAGAAATATTAAACCAATACTTATCAAATAGAATTAAAACATATTTCAATTTCACTAAACTATTATTAAATCTACTTCTATAAATCAATATTTTTTTCTTTTCAAATTTATTTATTTATTGATTTGATGTTGTTTGTCTCAATATTGATATTCACACTAGTTAGTTGAGTGTTTGTTTTGTATTTTTGAAAGAAAAATTCTTGTTGTCTGTTGGTATATTATATTATTTGTATTATAAATAAATTATTGTTCAATTCAAAAATGAATCTATTCAATAAATAAATAAATATTATTTTTATCTTTTATTTTACATTGATGATATTGGTTGTTAAAATAATAGAGTATTTATATCATCTTACTTTTCATTAAGAATGTCTTTGTTAAAATAGTTAAAAATTTGAAGATTATTATTTAAGAATATTTATAATTCTTTAAATCTTCAAACAATTTATTTAAAGGATGATCACGTGTTCAATGAAATTTTCTATTAATTAAACTAAATTATTTTTAATTCGAATAAAAAGTTTTGTCAAAATAAAAATGATATATTGAGATAATCATTATCATTATACTTATCGAATTTATTTATTTTCTTTTTGAAAGCTTTTATATTTTTTGCACAATAGATATAGATTTTATTTGAAATTTATCAATTTAAAACTAATTAATATATTCATACTAATGTTCAATGTTAATTGTTAGTAATATTGTTTGATTCTATAATTTATATATATCTATATATATCTGTTTATCGTTGATAAAAAATATAATTTCTGAAAAAATCAAAATTTTAATTTGCTATTTTATAAATCAATTAACATTTAAGGAGTATGTTGCATAAATAAATAGTTATTATTTTCTGGATTTAATTCGAATATTCTTTCAAATAAAATCATTTTTCAACGAAAAACAATTTTGAAAAATAGATAATTAATTAGATCAATTGAATAACCGAATTGAGACTATTTATATAATAGATGCAAAGATCATTCACACAGAACTTCAAAACAGCATTGGAACTTAACATTTCATCATATCGAAAAATTGAAATTAACAAGGAAAAGATTAACTAAATAATCAGTATTCATATGATTTTTCAAATATCGAAGTTTATTGATTAAAATATTGAACTGATACGACAAGTTATCAATACTATTGTGGATCTTTAATATAACTAAATGAAATATATGTTTTCTTTTGTGATTTAATATATTTAGAAATTTTCTACAGTCCTAAGTAATAAATTTGTAAATAGTCATTAATCAATAGTTTATCATGAATAATAAATCCTTTGTCTAGTAGATTATTCTCATATAAATATTTTTCAATTTAAAATAGTTCTTCATTCTATTGCCATGATAAGAAAAAGAGCTCAATTCGAATAATTATAAATTAAGTCTTGTATAAAACACGAATGAATTTTGAAAATTTTATTGGAATCAATTATCTAAAAACTGAAATACGTATACAATATCAATTGATATTATGTTCGTATCAATGATATAATGTATTTAAATGAGAATTAACTTCAATGCATCTCATTGATATGTTAACAAATCAATCTTCGATGTCGATATACATCTATAGAATGTCTTTCTTCATAAGATAACAATATCCACTATTTAAACAATAAAAACTCTTGGAAAACGAAGAATTTCAATGGATGAATATGTAAATATGAGTTTTCTATTCTCTAAGATTTAACGATATGATAATTTTAGTATGAAATATTAGACTACATTAAAATTTCCTATTGTTTGAATATTATTGCTTATGTAGTCAGCTATTTTAGAAAATAGTCGAAATTGAAAATGAGAATTTTTATCTGAAACTTAATTTTCCGAAGGTGTTTTCGATAGATGCAAGAATCTATGAAAATGTGAATGTATGAATATACGACAAAAGATAATATGTTCATTATTAAAATAGTTATTGATAAATCAAATTTATTAAATTATTATTTTATAAAGTTTGTTTCGAAATAAAGATAGATCTGATTTTTTTAGCGACCGTAGAACAAGAAACTCGGTGTTTTTTTAAAATTCCATGTCAATCATATTATTGAACTTTACAAAATTTAATATATTGGAATAAAAAAATAAAAATGCGCTTTGAAAAAAAAACACTAGAATGAAATATTGTCTTGTGAAGAAGAAAATTTGTATTAGAAACTGTAAAGATAGATGCCATTATTAAATTGTTGATTGATTCATGACGGAAAAATATTTTAAGCTTATTGAAAGTGTAAAAAATAATTTTCATAATGAATATTGAATGAAAATTATTTTTCAGTAATTTTTCTTATCATACATAAAAGTTTTATTCTTAAATACGTTTGAAAATTTTGACAGTACCGAATAAGAATGTTGTTTTTTCGATAAAATAGGTGTTGATAAATTATTTAGTAAAGTATTATTTGGTATTAATATAGCTGTTTTTTGATAATTTTCAATAGCTCTTATAATAGATGGATGATTTCTAGGTAATGATAAACGACGAATATCATATGTCATTTTATAATAAGATAATGCATGATAATAATCTTGTAAAATAAAATATATTTTTCCAATATTTGAATATGTTATAGCAAGATCAGGATGTGTTTGAGGAAGTAAATTTAAATCAATTTTAAGACTTTTTTTAAAATAAATAAGAGCATCATGAAAATGTTCTTGTTTTGTAAGAACCATTCCAATATTATTATAAACAGATGCTAATATTCTTTGATCATTTGTTTTTGTATTAAGAGCTGATTGAAAATAAAATAAAGCATAATTAAGGTTTCCTTGTGCATGATAAATCGAACCAATATTTGAATATGTATCAGCTAATTGTGGATCATTATATTTATCAGGTAAATAATTTGCTTTAATATCAATTGATTGTTGAAAAAAGTAACGAGATTTATCAAGATTTCTTTTTTCATTATGAACACAACCAAGTTGATGATAAATAAAAGCTAATTGTTGATAATCATTTGAAGAAATATTTTCTAAAATATTTTCATATATTTTTTCTGCTTTATCAAATTCTCCAATAGTTAACATTAATTTTGCTAAACATTCCCAAGGATTTGATAATAATTGAATATCTTCACGTAAATGTTTTGTTAATTGTTCAAGTTGTATATCATCTTGATTTTTTGTTAATTTTAAATAAATTTGCCAAATTTTATTTTCATCTTTTATTTGTTGAATATCAACAATACGAAAAACAGTATGTGTTGAAAAAAGTATTTCTTTTTCTTCATTTTTAAAATAACTTAAATTATTTAATGATGCATATGGATTTAATAAATTCATTTTTTTTTGGATCAATTTCCATACAAAATATAATTCCACGTAGACCTGGCTTTTTAATAGCATGACGAGCAAATTTAAGTGATACATTTTTATCAAGACTTGTTGAAAGAAATGTATTAAATGATATTAAACCACCTTTATATTTACATAAATTTTCAAATTGATCATTTTTTATTCCTTGACCACGATAAACAATCATTGAACAATGTTCTTGTAAATTGTATAAATGTTGAATTTGGTGATGAAGATCTTTTATAAAAAATCCCATTTTAATTAAAACATCAATATTTTGAGTCCGAAGAGCTTTATTAAGAATTTCATAGATAAAAGATTGTCGTGTATACCACCATATAGGTGAATGTTTTTCATAATCATTTTCAAACTCCTTAATTATATTTATTTGATCTATATTTAATATATTTAAATGTAAATAACAATATTGAATAAATTCTTTTTTATTATATTCATCATATTTAATATTAATTAAAATTTCTTTTAATAATCGTGAATACATAAAATCTGGTTCAAGATTATTTAATTTATCAATAGTTAATGTTTTATTTAATATATCTATTGAAATAAGATCATTTTGACAATGTCGAATATCTTGTTTAAGTTGATAACAAAGTTTATAAATTTCAGTAAAAAAATGTCCTTTTAATTTAAAATATTTGTTTGACCATAAATCATATTGATTTATATATTTACAATATACATAAATTGAATCGATAGATGTTAATTGATGAATATGAGGAACCATTTTTTCAACAAATTTATCATATAATATTAAAAAAATGATTTCATTATCGTTGACATTATTTTCAAGAAAATTTTCACAAAGATTTGGATCATCAAATGTTTGAACAGAATTAACTATTTGTCGAAGTTCATTTAATAATTGAAGATCATTACTTGATTTATCATCACCATTAATACCCACAACAATTATATTAATATCATCTAATAAAACTTTTTCATTTGATAACCATTTTATATTATTATCCTTTTTTGACGTTAAGTTTTTATTACCCATTTTTATCTATAATATACTTACTCTAGAACATTATTTTATATATTATTATGTACACCAACCAACAAAATACTCGTATAATATTAGGTATGTGTGACATATGACATATGATAGTTTATTTTATTTTCGTTGTTTCTATTATTTATCCTTGGATCTTTTTATTTAAACTATGTTATTCTCGAATTCAGTGACGCAGCCAGAAATTTTTTTTGGGGGGGACCGCAATAGAAAAAAGACATTTTTTGACTAGCAAAAACGAATTAGCCTGTACCCCCTCCAGGCATTTCGGTCTTTCGGGGGGGATCGATCCCCATAATCCCCCCCTGGCTGCGTCACTGCTCGAATTAGAAATAAAAGAACAATAGAAACATTTTCCACTGGGCTTCAACATAAAAAAGAATTCTATGTAATACTTGAAGTACAAAACCAGAATCTAGAAAGAATATAACCAAGAATATCGACTGTGTCTATAAAATAACCTTTTTCCAAATTGGATCCCCCTGTGCATACTAGAATAAACGAATAAATGACCGTCTTCTTGCTATATCTTTCTCTTTTGTTCTCATTTTTTCCTGTGGTATACAAGCTTGTATTTTATTCTTAAATGAAAGGTCTCATTAGTAATCGAAAAACGAAAAAACATTGTTGACTAATTGACGAGCCTGTAACATACAGTCATGCTTTGTTATTTTTTCATCTGTTTCCTTTTTATTCTCTGTAGAAAAAAGAATGACTCATAACTGTATAATACTCAATACTAACAAACACGTCATATAGCTTTACAAAATGAGTAACTTAAATCGAGAAATATATTCGTCGTAGATAATGATGATAGAATATAAATATTTATTTATATCATATATATACTTTGTTGACTAAAAATAACTATTCAATAGTAAACAATATTAGAACATAATATAAGTATTATATTTATATTAAATAATATGGCAAGTTATGATCTTGATTCTCATCTTTTTCGTACAAATCTATATAGAATATTTTCAAGTTCACATTGAATATAATCAATTATTTCCAGCACTATATTTTATTTCTTTTGAAAATCTTGACTTTCTTTTTCGATTAATTTTTATTTATTTATTTTTTGAAAACTATCTATAGAAGATAATATAAAAACAATTTATATATATATAGCTAATGTGTTATGACACAAAGTACATTATTTTCATCATTTTAACTAGAAAAACGAACTAGAAGAGCCAAAAGAAAAGTTAATTTATTATGTTAAAGGTATTTTTATGATAAAGACATGTTGCATTTTATAAACTATCTCTTTCTAAATGTTATCAAGAGAAATAATTTATTTATAAAAATAAGTTTGATTCAGTTTAAAAAACAAATTCTATTTTGAGTCGATTTCATTTCTCTTTATTTAATAATTTAATCTTGATAATTTTATTACGAATCTACAATTTATCAGTGTTTTTGATAAAGTTCTTCAGATTGAATGGTTTTAATTGATATCTTAAATGATCTTACTACGAGTATGAAGGAAAAAAAACTGAAATTTCTATCATCTATGTATCTTTCATTATCTAATAGTAGATTAAAGTTATTTTGATGAATAATATAATTATTAATTCACACGAGTAAACTACCCGAATTGATTTCAACAATTTACTAGAATTTTTTCGATCTCATTAATGTAATCCTGTAAGCGTTCGTGCTTATATCTATTTATTTTCAAGATATAGTCGAACTAATATCACAAGAAAAAAAACAAACCCAATTTTCTTCCATATCTTTTTTTTTTGTTATCTGAATAAATATAAATTAATCTTTAATGATAATCGTGTGCTAAAACGTGATAAATCGTGGTTTAATCAAGTTCATATTAACCCTCTGAATCCGGGATTATTTTTATGCGGAAAAAAATTGACAAAATTTTAAATCAACGTTTATTTTTAAAAGTATATGACAAAATTGACAATTGAATAAAGTAATCCACAAAATATAACTCTACATCGAAATGAATATTTTAATAATTATTATCGTTTCTGGATGTGACTCTTATCACAGTGTGAGCACGAAAGAAACATTTTCTACTAAGATTTACTTGAATAGATGTTGATGGAATGTGTGAAGAGAAATGTCATGATGTCAGTCAAAATGTACTTTGAGAAAAGAGTCAGCTAATTAAACTTTGCATCTGACTTCTGTCATCTCTGATTGTTGAAGAATTTTAAAAAGTATTGAATCTGCTAAAATAATTTAAGTTTTCATTCGAATAATAAGAGAAACTATCTTTGTATATGTATTAATTATATAGATACATCAATCGTGAAGAGAGAAATTCTTTGAAGAAATAGTTAATGTATAAGAAAATGGTAGTTCATGTTGAGCTGAACATTTACGTAAAAGATATTTTTTTTTTATGTATTTAAACGTCAATTACATGCTCAAGTATTAGATAAACAACATTTAGTTAGTGAAACTGAAACAATGTCTGTTGTTTTAAAACCATTTTCATGTGATCAAAATACAATAAATGTTGATTTAGAATTAATTATTAAATTTTTCTTGTTTGTCTTCGTTTAACTCTACATAATAATGAACTATTAAAAATTTTAAATTTATTATAATCAACTATATTTCATTGTAGATATGCTCGAGGGATATCCACCCATGGAGTGATGATGCACTAAATGGGGATTGAAGGAAGTGTTACACCATCACCTTCCTCCAAAAATGTTCTATTTTCGTACATTCAATTCCCTACGTATGATCGAAATGCATGAAAAGACTTGAAAATATAGACGAGAAGATTGTAGAAATTTTCTTACTGTTGTATGAGTCACTAGTGTCATTCTTTCATATTGATATGTGACATTATCAATCAGTATTTTTGGATGTGAAACACTATACTTTAAGACAATCACACAAAAGAAGAAATAAACCTATGTGTGATGAAATTGAAACTATCAATCATTCTCTAGCATTCACGTCAGTTAAACTAGTAACATGAATACAATTGAAAAATATAATTTGATTATACATTTGATTCTGCTGAAGAATGCCTTGACGATGATGAATCATTGAGAGATAATTCAATCAACAAAATTGCTGATAAATTTGTCCCAGATTTATTTCTAGATCAAAAATTAAATGAAAACAAAGACAATGGAAATTGGTTGTCTTAGTAAAAAGAGAATAGATCAAAATCATCCAAATTAGGATAATTAGCTTGTTGTTCGTTTTCTTCAACAGTTATATCTGTGAGTGTTGAAACATTTTTTTTCCGTTTTGTTTTGGTATGATACTCAGATAGATAATGAATAACTTGTTCGTACAATAAAAAGTGAAGATATAAACGATGTAAATATGTGAAACTGATTTCAACATTATTAAAATGTTTATGTTTGATAAAAACAACTTATTTGTTTCTATTTTGAAATACGATAAATGTTTTGTTATGAGAAACTAAAGTCAGTGGGAAAAATGTTTATGTAGAAAATTAACGGAAGAAATATATTTTGGCAGGTATGATAGACAAATATTGATTATAATATGTGGAACGTGTTGTAGTGAATTGTAAAACAATAGAATTCTTTTGATGTCTCCTTTTTTTTTAAAGTTTATTTTAAAAATGCAATATAGTCATTCTATTTAATGTTGTTTTTGTTTTCATATTCTTTGATAAAAATATTGATTAATAAATGAAGAATTGTTATTAATGAATAAATATTCTTATTAATTCTTAAGATGAATAAATATTCTCATCATGAAACTATATTCAATTAATTCAACTGATAGAACGATTTTATTTAATATTTAACTAGATAAACAAAATAAACAAAAAAAAAACCAATGGTTTGTTAGTAATAAGCTTTAAGGAATAAGAAGAATTTTGTAGAAAAATATGAATTATATGGAATAGAAAAAAACAAGAAAGAAAGAAACTAATTCAATTTATTAATAACATAATAAACGATAAGACAATCAGAATTCGAAGCTTCTCGACGTTCGAGTACGAGCTTTGGCAAACGAATTCATCATTAAAAAATAAACATTATCGTTAGAAGTTATTAATTACAATTGAGAAAAGAAAAAGATCCCTGGTCTATTTAGCCAGGGGAACTTTAACCTCAGCAACCTTCTTTTGAAGCTGCATCGCCTGATGATTTTGTTACTGATACTGTTGTTAAATTCTAAGACAAAAAAAAAAACAACAAAATTTATTTATCTATATAAGAAAAAAGTTGTAATTTTTACTTCTGAACATGTTGGATGAATTCCAACAGTCATATCAAAATCATTTTTTGTAGCTCCAAGTCTCATTGCTACAGCATAACCTTGAGTTATTTCACCAGCATTTGGAGATAAAACATGAAATCCAACAACACGATTCTTAATTAAAATAAAATTCATTTTAATTCCATTTTTATTTCTTCTATCTTAATATAAACTTACTGTATTTTTGTCAACAATTAATTTACAATATGACATTGTTTTAACTTTTTCACGATGATGACATATTGACCATTCTAATGGAACAAATTCACTGTGATATACCTTATTAAATAATAATTATTTAAAAGAATTAAAAAATAAATATTATTTATTTTACTTCAATATTTTCTTGACCGAAATGAGAAATAGCATCTTCTTCAATATAACCAATCGCACCATATTCTATTGGAGTAAAAACTGTTGTTGGAACGTTATGATAATCCATCTAAATATATTTATATACATACATATTTATTTAATTAAAATAATAATTCATCATTTGTTAGTCAAACCGTTATTGAACTATTTGAAAAAAGTCGTCGAGCTAATAATTGACCTGCTTGAATAGCAACTGGTGTTAATTCTAAAGGTTGTCCTCTAGGCATAGTTTGTTCATCAATACAATCTCCAATAGCATATAACCATGGACAATTAATTGATTGTTCATGTTTTGTTTTTATTTTAAAACCATTTATTTTATTAATATTAATTCCAATTTGATTCAAATTTAAATCCTGAGTACAAGCTTCACGTCC